TTTTCCTTCTCACCTCTTCCTTTCCTTTACTAACTTTTATCCTAGGCTTTGCGTGAAAAATGAAAAAATAATCCTCTCCGCAAACAGTCCGCTATAAAAGCAGCTATCAGCTCCGTTTTCCTCTCTTGGATTCAGATTTATCTTGATCTGTCCTTTCTCTCGAACCCTCTTCTCCGGTCAATCTGTGCGGTGAGAACTTCCGTCGGGCCCTGATCTCTCCCGCTTGTAGCCATGGAAGACGAGTTCGCGGATAAGGTGCCTCCATCCTTTTACGAAATGGTATTTTTTTTTCCTGCTTGTTCCTAAATGTCAATTTTATTGCCTAATCTGCAAGATCTATGTCGTCGGATTTGAATTTTGCATTCCAATTGAAAGATCTAGGTCTCTTTCCTATTGTTGCTTTTATATCATGGTGATCTAGTGTGGAATCTGTGTTTGAACTGTAATTTGGAGTTATGCATGTTGATTATCTGCCGATCGAAACGTTTTGCATGCTCATTTCTTATGGATTTCATGAAGATTGATGAAAATTCATTACGAGTTTTTAATTTGTTGGAAGAATGCTAGTTATTTGTGCTGGATTTAGAGCCAAATATATGAAATCTCAAGTTTCTACCTGCAATTCTGCAAAGGATTCTATAATATTGGCTTGTTGTTGATTAGGTAGTAAATCACACTGTGAGGACTATGCCCTGCTATGTCAATGGGATTCTGTGCAAATTTTTCATGCAATTCAATTTCAGTTTGACAAGATACACATGGTTAGGACTTAGTCTATAGTGGAACTGAGTGTAGATGTGCCATATTTGATTTAGTTCAAGCATCAATAGACTTTGTTTCAATGTGTCAATGGTATTGCAAGTTGGTCTTTAGTCCTTACATGTTGGAGGCGAGTTTTCTAGGCTGCATTGAACTAGAGCACTATCAACATGTATGGTATGTAACAAAGAATGTAATCAATTGCATGCAAACAACTGAACATATAGGGTGTCATGACTTTAGATCTGAACATTATGTTTCGACTCAAAACACTTTAGAAAGAATTACAGCATTCAGTTGATTAGATCCTCTGGGTTACAGTGTCCTAGCTATCTAAAGGGATTTTATGATCGCTAATTTTGTCAAAATTTTCAAATTAAAATTTATCATTATCTATTAAGTATATGTGGAATCGAAAAATTCATTTAAACAGGCAAGCTAGGTTTTTAGGCATAAAATGAATTGGTATCTAATTGTGTATTTATCCTTGTGAAGCCTTTGTTGTTTTTTTTTTGGACAAATAATGAGCTTCAAGTTGTACACCTCTTCCTTTGTTTATTCTTGTACTTTTGCTGCCTACTGATATAGGATGATTTATTTGTTTCGTACAATGGAATAGGGCAACAAGATCATTCATGAAACTGAAGCCAAAGGATTCAACCCCGGATTGATAGTGCTGCTACTTGTGGGGTCATTACTGTTGATATTCCTTGTTGGGAACTATGCGCTTTACATGTATGCACAGAAGACCCTTCCTCCAAGAAAGAAGAAGGTGATCTCCAAGAAGAAGATGAAGAAGGAGAAGTTGAAGCAAGGAGTCTCTGCACCAGGGGAGTAAGAATTTGAGTCCTTTCTGTTCTTTTCAGAAGTTAGTCATGTTATGACAGTTAAAGAGTTGTCACAGTTAAACTGTAGCCTCTTACTTAGAAGTTTAACCCAATTTTTGGGTAGACTAAGGAGTAAAAATGGTATTTTGTGCTTATGAAGTGCACGTTTTACATCATTATTATGCGTTTATCTTTGTTTTCCCCTTCGTAAATTTGGCAAATTGGTTTTAATCTCTAGTTTTGCTTACATGAAAGCATCTCTCGATTGTGGATGATATTTTTCTATGCATTTGATGACGGAGTCCTTTCCAAAACCCTCCCTCCCTCCCTCATCCTAGAATTCAAACTCTGACTTCCAAAATATTCTAGACCTCCCAAATGGAAGCTCCAACTATTACTCAATACTCATTGGGATATCCCCTACAGGGGACTTCAATCGTGGAAGATGTGAATCATGTTAGATGTGTTTTTACTAGGGTCCAGAGTCTACTTACTGTCTAGTATTTGTTCAGTTCTTCATACGAACTAGGCGCCGAACCTCGTACCTTCATATTAGATCATACCTCTCCACAAGTAGGCAAAAATAATCCCATAGCTCTAATCTCTCCTTATCAAAAGAGCACAAAGTGGGTTTGAAATCGAAAGAGGAAATAAACAATATAGAGAAGGATGATATATAATATAGTCTGAGGAACGATAAGCATATCATATTCATTTACAAACACAATGTACGTAAGATAGACATCTTTATCGTGTCATATTTTTATGATTGACCACACAATGCATTCACTCTCTGATAGTAAGTATAGATGATAGGATAAAGTTTTACATCTTTGTCATGGGAGAAATAGTCGACATCACTCTACAGGATAAGAATGCAGAGAGGATAGAGCAACCCATCAAGAAGCGGGCAAGGGGCAGAATCAGACTCCGCGGCCCATGGTCTGTTCCCCAGGGGGGATCATGACCAGAAGAGGCCGAGTATTAAACCCAGGATGAGGCATCCTTCGACGAATCTCACGTCCTTCCTGGCAAAGAGCACATGGATGGCAGAAGACATGGGTTGCAGCATCACAGGCTGATTCACACAGTTCACGTTGCATCTCATCTTCCAAACAGCTCCCACAGCAGCCACACGACCTATTAAGAGCCTCACAGCTGCCCTGTTAAGCAAAGAATTCTCAGCATGAATAAGCCTTGAAAAGCTCTCTTGTAAATAGCCTCTTGGATTATTAATTCTAATTGTAGCCTACTTTCCCTCCCCACAGTCGCCCTTCTTATCCCCGCAATATCATAAAAATAAAGAGCAATCAACTAACTACCAAGTTCTTATCCCACCATAACAGCACGACCTCAAAATTATAAACTTTTCCATTTCTATTTTGACCAGCAATGAATGTGTAAATTTAGAAAACGATGGTGGAAACAAAGAAAATTAACACATATTTAAATGGCAAAACTTATTTTGCATAACTCAAATGTGCTAGGACCATTGGTAATACCAGTGTTTGATTTCCTCTTTCACAAGTTGATGAAATCGTATATCCCCAGTACAATGTAATCTAAATTTAAAAGGATTTCTAAAAGTCAAATCAAGCAAGTAAACTGCAAATAAGAAATTGAATTGCATCATTACCAAAAGAAATGAAAGATCAAACAACAAAGATGGGAAAACTGATACAGCGTAAGGAATTGTTGATAGAAGAACAAACAAAGTTCATGAGGTGAGGCAAAAAAAAAAAAAAAAAGGGACAAAACCAACTGAGAATGAAACGAAAGCATGCAAACATTGAAGATCAACGGCAAGGGTACTTGTTTAACCGCAAATAGCCAAAAAGCACATCC